TAGATATTACCCCTCGGAGGACAAGGATGTAAAAATCCTATGTAATTAGGGAAAACTGGAAAGTAATATACAATTTATAGTGTTCTTTACCAGCCACCTGATCCAGTTCGGATAGTAACCAATATCCACAGAAAGTTAGTGTAATAATCAATGTGACATCTACAGATATTTAACGCATGCTGAAGCGCACAGTGCGTAGAAGTCGCCAACTGTCTGCAGAGTCAATAGCTACAGACCTCCAAACTACGTGTGGCCTTCAGATTGGCACAACAACAGTGCGTAGAGAACTTCATGGAATGGGTTTCCATGGCCAGGCAGCTGCATGCAAGCCTTACATCACCAAGTGCAATGCAAAGCTTTGGATGCAGTGGTGTAAAGCGCATGCTGCCACTGGACTCTAGAGAGGTGCAGACGTGTTCTCTGTTCTCTGGATAAGGAGGAACTTGCCTGGCCTGCACAGAGTCCTGACCTCAACCCGATAGAACACCTTTGGGATGAATAAGAGCGGAGACTCTGAGCCAGACCTTCTCGTCCAACATCAGTACCTGACCTCACAAATGTGCTTCTAGAAGAATGGTCAAACATTCCTATAGACACACTGCTAAACCTTGTGAAGAGCCTTCCCAGAAGAGTTTAAGCTGTTATAGCGGCAAAGGGTGGGCCAACTCAATATTGAACCTTACGGACGAAGACTGGGATGCCAGTAAAGTTCATGTGCATGTAAAGGCAGGCGTCCCAATACTTTCGGCAATAAAGTGTATATACTGTACATATATATCATACTGTGACATCCCAAATTCCTCAATGACATGCATGAACAATCAAAGCACCCTTAGGCAAACTGAATGCAGAGAACTCAAACGGTCTCCCGATCTAAAGATGATGGCCAAATCGGGTGATGTCCTAGTTCTATGTGCAATCTACTCTCCTTGCAGAGCAATACCAAAGTAAGCAGGCCTTAAAGAGACACGGCGCTCACCAAAAAAAATAGCAGGTCCCTACAAAAGAAGAGGTAATATACTTCTCTCTCTGGAGGTCTATGTCTCCTATCTTAGCTCCATTCAAGTGCTGCAGCCTCCGTCACTCTTTAGCACCCGCCACCTCAAGGATTGGCAACATTCTGTGTCCCCTGCTTCCATCTACCTCACAACAGGTCAAAGCAGCGACATATGGGTCGAACCTCATTGAGTAGGAGTCACAGGAACCTGACATTCCTGTAGGTGTTGAAAATGCTGAAGAGTCTGATAAAGGCTGCGGGCACCGGGCAGGTAATAATGCATAATACCTCCTCTTTTACAGGGATCTGCTATTAAGATTTCTTGGTCACTAAGTACATTCACATCTAGATGTTTCATATGTTTCAGTTTCAGTGCACTGTGCTTTAAGCTAATTTTACCCATGCACTACATGCGATACCATTCATCCTTGTGGAAGTAGAATGTAGTCTATGGGGTGGGGCTTAAAGCCTCATTCTGAGCAGTTACAAAATAAGTAGCGTTGCTCCCCCCCAGCTGATTAAGGGTTTAATACATTTGGGGTTTTTCTAGCGGATGAAACAACAGAGTAATACTTACCTATATTCACCGTCCCGCTGGCCTTCCTCCTTGGTTCGGATGACCCCTCCTCTGAAGCCTCTCTTCTTGCCAGTCTTGGATCAGTCACTGCCCCTCTCAACATCGTCATCATACACAATGTAGGACCAGTGACCACAGCATCAAGATAGAACATGGTCTTTGGTAGGAACTCCCACCCACAGATCAGTGCTGGAGAGAAGACTGGAAAACCAGCTGTTGCTGGGCCATGGAGTATTATTCTATGTTATCTCAGTTCGTAGTGAAAAATAGCTATGAGGAAGGAGGGGGACAATTTTGATTTTGAAACTGTCCAGACTCAAAGAAACCCTTATAAAGCTGCCCGACTGTCTCTGGATTCAATACTTTTAAATAACTTGGAACAAACATGCAGATGAGGAAAGGCTGGGAGAGGTCAGAACTAACTTGCCTACTTATTTGGGGGTAGTGGAGTAAAAAAGCACTGATGTCATTAGATCAATATGGCCACCAAGGAACTGGTTTTTGAAAAAATTATGGATTCATGATTTCTGGGTGATATACTGCAGATAGCAGAGGATTGAAAATGCATTATGTAGAGCTACCGCATGTGCCTTATAAGATAACTAAATCATTTGTTTATGGCTATAGTTCTATTTTGGGTTACAGGAGGAAATTTACTCCTGTGACCCAAACTCAGCATATAGCGGGTTAATGCCCGCTATATGCTTACAATGCAGAGCTGAGATGCAACTGGGAAAGATCCTGACAATATTGTCACTCCGCTGCCTGATTGACAGCTGCCTCTGCCTCTCGAGAGCCAGCAGTGCCCGCCCCCTCCCTTGTCTGTCCGTCCAATGAGCGCTGGGGGAATTGAGAGAATAGGGAGAAATCCCTGCGAGGAGCAGTGATTGATAATTCCAAAAGATGTCACCAGCACTCCAAAAGTAGATTCAATATATTTTAATGACAACGGTCAAAGTGATTGATAGTCACCGCTCTCTATAGGGAGAAGACCATGAGCTCAGTCATCAGTGATTTGTGGTCACTCAGTTCTCGATCTATAGAGGCATGTGACAGCTGCAGTGTCACACATCAGCTCTAAGTAACAGGAAGAGTCCATATTTATCTAACAAAACTTCTCCTTTAAAGGATAACTAAACCCAAGAACAAATATATAGTACATTGCAGCTTACTAGTCTGTAGGTGTGGTGGCTCCATTAGTTTTCCATTTTCAGGCTAAAAACATTTTCGTCAAGTACAGAAAATACTTGTTGATCTTGCCAGAAATGCAGCGTCCTTGTCACTTCCAGTGAGCTAAAAAGACAGCTATCTTTCTTGTGTAAACTACTAACCCCGCGTGAAAAAAGAAAACTAATACAGCCGTCACATCTAAGATCGGTAAACTGAAATATAGTACAATTTTGTTTTTCAGTTTTAGATACAATTTCAAAAGCCTTGTGGATTCTAAGACCTGATGGAATAAAGATTTTGTGCTATGGGATGCAGTAAAAATCAGATTGTTGCCATTTTCCTCATGAGTTTTCCCCACAATAAATGTCCCTAAGGAATAACGAACATAATTATTTTTATAATTACACACGTGCAGAAAGCCTAGAACCTTCATTAACACATATGCCCATGGTTACATAAATAGATATATAATAAGTAATTACATTATACTAATTGATACAAATGTATGCATGCATGCAAAATCAGAGAAGTGGGAATACATCGGGGAATGCGCTAGACACAAATGTGACTCATTCATAGTGACATCTGGTATAGCTGGTACTAATATGAAGCATAGTCAGAAGGGAAACACTTTACATGTCCCCTCAAAACTTTCATGTAACTGAAAATTCGAATGGATAAACCACACAGTAAGCCATTTCTTGTTGTTAGTAGAAGTGTCAGTTCAGGACACAATTATTTTCCATGTACCCTGTTCATACTACAAGGCTGTGTTTTGGTGGGCTGCAGTGCACTGTTCAAAAATGCAGACATGTTGCATTTTTACACAGTGCAGCTTACCACACTGCACCGTATGTCACCTGAATGAAGTGTTATTTTGCAATACTTCAAAAAAGTAAAAAAAAAGAGGTAGACCATGCAAGGCGCTGTAACAGTGCATCCCATTTCCCGTCACCACCCTATACTACGGACACCAACCTGCACGCTTAAATGCCACGTTTTAGCATGCTGGCTGGTGTAAACAAGCCCTTTAATGATGCACCAGAGGCACTAGATGTCATTAGCCATTGTGTCACCAATTTCTGCACTTGTCAGTGTAGATCAATGGATCAATGCCTCCAAGCTACGGCCTGCGGGTCCCATACAAGATTTTATCTGGCCCACAGCAACTCCGGCTACCGGTCTGTCTATTGTAATGCAGACACCAGCACATCCACTGCCAGCCAACCATCCATGACCCTCTCGCAGTGCAGATTCTCCCTCCCTCCATTGTAGTTGGTTGATAGGACCACTGGCATCCTAGCAACCAAATTTGTTATATCATTTACATTTCCTCCTTCCACTCATTAGCATTTCCCCCACCTCCCAGCTTCTGTCCTGCTGCTCTGCCATCTGAAAGTTAAGGGGGGACTCCGCTGGGCACTCTTGGATGTGAGGGAGGAACTCTGCTGGGCCCCTGGATGTAAGGGGGAACTCTGCCGGGCATTCCCGGATGTATGAGGGGAACTCTACCGGGCACTCCTGGATATAAGAGGGGAACTCTGCTGGACACTCCAGGATGTAAGGGTATACTCTGATGGGCACTCCTGGATGTAAGGGTATACTCTGATGGGCACTCTTGGATGTAAGGGGGGCTCTGCTGAGAACCTCTGGTTGTAAGGGGGGAACTCTACAGGGCACTCCTAGATGTAAGGTGTAACTCTGCTGGACACTCCTGGATGTAAGAGGATACTCTGATGGGCACTCATGGATGTAAGGGGGGACTCTGCTGGGCACTCCTGGATGTAAGGTGAAACTCTGCTGGGCACACCTGTATGTAAGAGGGGACTCTACTGGGCACGTCTGGAGGTAAGGGAGAAATCTGCTTGGCACACCTGGATGTAAAGGGGAAATCTGCCAGAGACTCGTGGATGTAATGGGAGACTTTGTTTTGTACTCCTGGATGTAAGGGGGGGGCTCTGCTGGGCACTCCTGGATGTAAGAGGGAAATCTGCTGGACACTCCTGGATGTAAGGGGGAAACTTTGTTTTGTACTCCTGGATGTAAGCGAGGGGGGACTCTGCTGGGCACTCCTGGATTTAAGGGGGGACATATTCATTTATTTACATTTTATTAATTAACTTTCAAACTGGGTTTTTTTTCAGCCCGCAAATATTTGTAAAACATATACAATGTGGCCCTTGTTGACACTGAAATGTTTGGTGAACATGCTGTAGAAAATTTCAGTCATGAAAATGACAATATTTACAATGTTACCTGGAAAGTGCTCCGTCCACTGGGACTAGTCACATGTGTGACTGAACGCTGATCTACTAAATCTAAGGCATACAAGGCCGTGGGCCCAAAAATAAACTTCAACCTGCAAATAAACACAAACGTGATAACCGCAGACATTATAGGGATACTGGTTATAGTTTACACACATATGTTAGATGAGTATCTAGTGGTTTCAGACATCACAGTGTGTTATAAATTCAATGAGGAACAGAAAATAAAAAAATGATGCTAAGCAAAGATAATGGGACACAGTTTTCACTTCTATGCATTAAATATAACCACAATATTCTAACACTGCTTATTCTCTAAGGTACAATGATTGTGTAAAATGTAGCAATCTATAAAATGAATCTGGATTTTATTTTAATGTTTATAAAATAGAAATTGATCAGTCATCACTGTATTTTCTCTTCGGCCCCCCTTTTGGCCGCGTTTTTGATGCGTTCCCGTAAAAAAAGAAAAAAAAATGTTTTTTGCTGGAGTGGGGCATGTCAGTATGTTAGCTGCAGTGCAGTGCGTTTTTGACGCGTTTTGCGTTTCCGGACCGTACAAAATTTGACATGCAGTATTTTTTCTGTCGTAACCTGAACGGACTGCACACGTGAGAACTGTAGCCCATAAAACACATAGGGATACATTTTTAGTGCAGGAGCGTACGGATCAGGTCAGCACAGAAAACGTACATCGTGTGAACAGGCCCTTAAAGTGTATGTCCGGTCAAAACCTTTTTTTTTTCTTTTAAGTTGTGGAGAGAGTAGGGAAGGAGTAGAATCCCCGTTGGGTTTTTTCTTCCCTTAGGGGCTCTATGAGAGTGATTCTTCCTCACTTAAGCTGGCCATACACGACTTTTCGCCAATTCTTGTTAATAGCTGTTGAAAACAACAGCTGTCAGGGGTGATTCCTCCATCCACACTGTGCAGGGTGGATGCGCGTAATCAAGCATTTTTTTCTCATTTAGTCCATGCAAAACGTGTAGGGCCAACTTCACTATCATGTGGCAATGGCGTCACTAGACAGGAAGTGAAGGAAACAAAACAGACGGAAGTAAAAAATTATCTTCGTTTTTGTAGAATAGGGGAAGGCTAGAGCCCCTATCAGCAGTGTATATTTTTCCTTAACTCCTGTCTGGTTGTCCCCAGGAGATTAAGTGGATTCATTTATTTTAGGTTCATGTCATATTTGTGATCATTTTCATTTTCCTCGTTCTGCTCTCTCCTCCTGTCACCATGGTTCCAGACAGCACATGTGCACTGTAGCAGATCCTGACTGGTTAGTAATGCCACCCATCTTTGTCTAAATGCTCTTGTGCAGGAGGGGCTATGAAGACAGTTTGTGTGCTTACACTTGTCACATTTAAAACATTTGGCCTATGTTCATACAGATACTAGCACTGTTCAACCCACACTTACATTCAACCACACTCTACATTCATCCAACATACAATGTTCAGACTGTGCTAAGCCTTCAACTTCCATGGTTTCCCTCAACAGACAATCACCTTTTCCCGGATTTTCCACTGGAAAGTTCAGGAGAAGAACTTTTGAAGAAGGGGTACTATCCCCTGAAAAGCTTGTTTCTGCATTCTGTGGTGGTCCTATGTCTGCATTTGTATTATAATCAGCATTTCGGAGAATTTTGGATTGTTCCTGGTGTGATTATATTTCGCAAGATTTCACTTTGTGTATGTGGGTAGCTTTATCACCCTCCACATTATTGTTACTAGAGGTGCACCAAAATGGAAATTTTAGAACCGAAACAAAACCGAAATTAAAAAAAATGTCAGGCCGAAACCGAACGGGATGCGCCCATGTATCGGCCGAAACATGGCTATTTCGGCATTATGCCGAAAATTCAATTTTCGGCCGATATGTTTCGGCGGCCGATATATATCGGTGCATCCCTAATTGTTACTATACGTTATTGCACGAGGAGAAGGTGCTGTCTCACTTTGTTCTTTGTATCCAGTTCTGCTTTACATGGACTGGTGTACTATGTAACGTCATTAAAAAAAACAAGGATCAAACAACAAGGGCAGACCACACATGCTGTTCATGAGTAAGCAATGTATGCATTTAAACCAAAAGAAAACAAACATATTTAGGTTGTCAGATGAGAAGATTTGTAAGCTACGGAACTGCCTGAGGCCTCTTAGAGAACAGTTTGTATAACAAAATGAATTCAAAGTACTCACCCCAGTAGATGATCATCGGAAACTGCAAACAAACAAAAACACTGCATGAAAATCCAATGTAATGCCATATTATGAGCATCAGTCACTCTATTCTGCTCATCAGTTCTGTAAATGGCAATGGTACTTGTCTCTAAGACGGTTTAATAACTGAATGGCAATGGTACTTGTCACTAAGACGGTTTAATCCATTTGCTTTTAACCTCCGGGCACAGAAGATGGTGCTACTAATTTTGTAGGTCCTTTGCACAAATGTTTGTCGAATCAATATTAGACCAAAACAAATACACAATTAAATTGATAAAAGCACACTAAAATCAGTATCAGTGCACAAAAAAAAAAAACTTTTCCGACTAATCTAAAAGAAAAAACTGTATAGAGTTGATAACAACAAATATTTGTACATTTTAAATTGGGCCTTTTTGCGTAACAGTAAAAAAAAAATTGAAGTAACGCAAAACTGTAAATAAGCAGCTTATGTTAAAAATCGTTTGTGCACTGTTTGTTTGTCTTGTGATAAATTGATACTGGCATACAATTGCAACACAGCATATCACAACGCACGGCAATGCGTCACAACGTTTTGCCACGTGCTGCCACAGGTAAATTAATGTTATTTTGAAAATAAAAAATAAAAATCAAGCACTGTGATGTGTTCTACAACGCAGCGCAGTGCACAATATGTGTATAATATGTGTGTGTGTGTGTTGGGGGGCTTTGGGGAATTTCAGGGGTCTAAGCAGACCCCTGACATTTCCCTTTTGATATAGAAAAAGAGATTGAGGACACAGGGTTCTCAATCTTTTTTTCCGCAGCCTCTGTTCTACAATAATGGAAAGCACTCAGTACAGAGGCTTCCCATTCATTGAGAAACTGGTGATAAAAAATATTTTACCATCAACCAATTATCAATGGGTAGAAGCCTCTATAGTGAGTGCTACTATCCACTCAGAAACTCATGAATGAACAGGAAGTGATGTAAAGCATTTCCTGTTCATTCATTCATAACACTTCCTGTTCATTCATAGTACTATGAATGAGCAGGAAGTGTTCTGTCCCCAGTTATTTACAAACACTGGAGTGATCAGCTGATCACTCCAGTGTTTGTTCTGCACAGAGGATCAGTAAATAGATTCTCCACTCGGCCACGCACAGAGCCGCTGTCATCCATCTGCTGTCAGTGTCTCTGCTCTCTCCTCCCCACTCACTCCTCTCCTGCTGCGCGGCCAACCTGACAAGGAACAGATGGGAAATGTTCCAATAAGGACACTAGTTCTGGTGACCCTGCTGACCACCTGTCCATTTCAGGAACCTGAAGGATCTTTTTAGGAGCAAGCTCCATTGACAACTAGAGAAAACCTCAAAAGTTAGGCGCCAGCTGTCATTTTAAGGGGCATTGGCTACCTAGCTCATGGGATTAGTCTATGGAGCTCAAATAAAGCTATATTATTCATCTGATCCTCGGTCCCCCCTCAGTCAACATTCAGTCC